GTAAATATCTAGCAATACAATATGCAAGGAAATCTGTATTAAGTACGGTAAACTCGGTAGAATGTAAATTTGAATACAATCTAAATACATTTAAATACAACATATAATAACTAAGTAAGTCACAACTCAGTGAATGACATTGTAAATGTGCAAATGAGTTCTGGATTGTTTAAATACTTATGAATATAACTAAATACATACAAATACATCAACATACATATAAATCACATGAATAATTATGACTACATCAATGTACCCCTAAATCACATCAACAACTTTGAAAGCATATTGATACAATAACAATTACCTTTTCGTGCCGTGTATCCGAGCTTTTTTTTTTTTTTTTTGCATCAACTTCCTTAACCTTGACACATGAAGAATCATTCATAGGTTTTTTCCTCTTTTCCGCAACTGGAATTTTTGTTTCTTCTGAAGATTCCTCAACTTGGACTTCTTTCGATTTGTCATTGTGTAATTTAGTTCTTCTCTCTGAAGCTGTAGTTACTGATACACCTGCAAATTCTGACTCCGCTTGAGTTATTTGCAACGAGAAAGAGGGCCCATCAAAATTGAGAATTTTGGTGGGTATACCTCTGGTTACCATCTTGTGTGACGACGAATCCGACATTGGAGAGAAAAACGATAGCTATCTGTTGAGTAAACAATAACAATGGTTATTGTTTAAGAAGCAAACAAAAATCTGTATCAAAATCGAAGAAGCTAAATACTTGTATCAAAATCTAAGAAGCTAAATACTTACCGCAAGAACTTGTATCAGGAAATAAAACCATGATTTTAGAGAGAAACTAACTGGGGAGTGATAATGGGGGAGACCTAGCGAATTTGGATGGGAGAAGAAGTCTGAAACGTGGTTTTGTGGGAGAAGAGAGTAAAGTGTATGAAAAAGAGAGAGAGAGAGAGAGAGAGAGAGAGAGAGAGAGAACGTGGTTTGTGAAATTTACCGTGATTATGTGAGAGAAAATCTGAAAAAGGAGAGAGAAAAATATTAATTAGCGTATATGGTGCCTTAAATATAGGATGTAACTATAATTAAATATTTTGCTATAAAAGATAAAAGATAGCTATATAATATAATTTTTAAAATGATATTTATTTAAAATAAATAGGGTATTAAGTTTTTCTATAGGGTGTAAAAATTCCAATCTTTAATTATTAGGGTTGACCTGTTAGAGGCCATTTTGATACCCGCAAATGAATCAGCCCAATCCAATTTTTGCAGTTTCACGTATCGACTTCAACAGGGTCCAAGCTCAACAGAGGATAAGGGTAATTTGGTCAATAAAGCAGGAGGCCCAAAGGCGGGGTTATACGCTTTCTCCCATACGATACGAATACGAAAAAAAGGAAAACACTTCTCCTCTCTTATCCACTTCGTCTAAAAAAAAATCCCATTTTCAATTTCAAGAGCTCAAAAAACAGATACTTGAAATCCAAAAGCAAAAGTTTCACGAAAAAATGGCGGTGTCTTTGAGGTTCTTCTCCACTTTCTCGGCTGTTGAAATGGCGTCGTTCTTTAACTCTTCGTCGTCTTCTTCTTCTTCTTCTGTTAGGCTTGGTGGTAATTTACCTAGTGTTCGAACGGCGACATTCGCCGCCTCTTCAAAGCCAGCTACTACGGAGCCAAAGAAGCGGGAACCAAGAGGCATTATGAAGCCACGTCGAGTTTCGCCGGAAATGCAGGCCTTCCTCGGTGGCCTTCCGGAGATTCCTCGTACTCAAGCACTCAAGTTCATTTGGGCCCACATCAAACAGCACAACCTTCAGGTACTTTTCGATATGTTTAATTTCTTCTCGAATAACATTAGCTACCACTAATTACTCCTCTCTATAGATGGCTTTATCAATTAGAAAGCAAATGATGGTGTACACGTAACAGCTAGTTGGGATATAAGTTTAGTTGTTGTTGCTACTGTTACGTTAGGTTTTAATTTTATTAGTGTTTGTTGGTATTCATTTCTCTGGTTAAATTAGTCGATACAGGCAGAGGCGGCTCTAGTTTGAGATTCTACAGCAACCCATCTGATTTATTCTATTGTTTGTACTTATTTAGAGGATATTTTAGCACTTATAAAAGACCCGAGCTAAAGCTACTGGGTTCAGATAAGGTACAGGCTGCATCCTCCGATCCTCTGAATATAGGAATAAGTGCTGAGAGTTAGAGAACGTTTTAAACTTGAGAATCATTAATTTGCGTTAAAAGATAAGTAATTATTTATCAGTATTGGAATGATAGATTGATATATCCATATTGGAGAGAAAATTTTCCAAACAGAGTGAAATTGATGTAGAAGATTAATATAGTTTACTCCAACTATTTTTGATCGAGTATAGTTGATTGCATGACTGATCATTTATATGCTTATAATCTTTTTGTTATTGTTGCATTAATGGGATTTCTTAGCTTGATTTTGGGACATATGTGTTGTAAATTGTTTGGAACCGGTGGTTACAGTAGCACGTTTGGGATTTTTAATTATGCTTCTTGACACTTTGAAAGGATGAGAAGCTTCTTAGTTGATTAGGGGTATTCATTAGAAAATGTTTTGCTTAAGGGGTTTTGAGGTGTATTAATTTGTTAGTTTTGGGTTGTGTTGTAGTAAGATCTGAGTTATTTATTTTGGTTTGGAGTTTATGAGGTGTATTAGTTTCTTAGTTCTGTGTCGTGTTGTAGTAAGATTTGTGTTATTGCATGATTCGGTTATCTAAAATTATGTTCTTTCCACTTGCATTTCTGAAACAACTTCATATATAGTACTTCTGCTCTGGTTTATATGTTAAACACCCTCTCACATGATTTCTTTAACCTCGTTGAGTTTGTGTTGGTCCGTATTAAATGAGTGTGTTTCAAAGTTATTAAGTGGTTGGTTAATATTCTCTTCTCACTCTTGTGTCGAATCATAATAGCTCCTTTTTTTGCCTTAGTGCGTTGGGTATCACCTGCAATTCTGTCCATCAATTCAGTAACATGTTCTAGATCTTACTTTTCTAATGATAATGTTTGTGTCATTTACTGTATGTTGTGTTGTAGTTGAGGATGAATTGCAGACTTTTTACTGTTTTTGACTTTCAAGTATGAATTGGTAGCTCTTTTCTTGCTGGCCTAAATATCTATTTTTGCTTGAGACAAGACAATAGTTATGATGTGATCCCCTTTTTCTTGTGATCAATTGTCGATTTGCTTGTGGTAGTAGTTTCTAACTCTTGTACGAAAGATGTTTATTTGTTTGATATTTATATACTTGCCATATATCTACTATTGATGAACTTCCCGTGAAATATGATGCTTCATGGAAGTCTTCTTCATATGTATTCTTTTTCATTACTTCATAAAAAAGAATGTATCTTTTTCATTTTTATGTTTTAATATTTATCGACAGATATGCTGGGGATATGCTTTCAGTTTCTAATATATACCACCTGTGCTTGATGCAAAGCACATTGCTGATTTAGTTCTTTTCGTGCTGTCTGATTGTACTCCATGTGTCTGGTTAAATATCATCTAAAGTATTCTACGAAGGTTTGGAGTTTTATTCCAACTATAGATGTCGAAAGGTACTCAAGTATTTGGTCATATCCCCTTCCATGTACTCAAGCGGATGGCTTTAGTAATTTGACCTTTTCTCCCTCTGTGTTGATAAGAAAACTATCTGATTGAGTTTGAAGAAATTAGTTCCTGTTATGAGGTTTGGCTCCTTATTCAAAATATAGCTATGTATACTTTTTATATTTCTTATGCGTTATGGTAATATATAACTTACATTATCCATAATGTGGGTCATCTTTGTAGGATCCTGAGGACAAGAAGGTCATAATCTGTGATGAGAAGTTGAAGAATATATTTGGAGGAAGAGATCGCGTCGGGTTCCTTGAGATCGCAGGATTGATTAGTCCTCACTTTCTTAAGTGACACAAGTTAAAGGGAAGTTATGGAAGGAAACTCTTTTTTCTTTGTAAAATTAGGTTCTAGGACTAGATTGGATGATATTTTAGGACTCAAAATTGCTGCTGATCAATTTAGCTGAGCTTGGTTTCTTTTAAACTTGTGAAGATCACTCTTTTGTTAAAGTTGATTGGTAGTTTTTGGTTTTCAGAACTTCATATAGCTTTGCATTTCAAAATTACTGATGACTCAAGTGTTGGATTGTTAACAATCTTGTGCTTTTTGCTGCTAGTGATGTACGGGGGATTTCCGGACCTTCTGATGCTGTTAAATGCATTGAAAATGTGAATTATTTTCTTTACGATGGCGCTCAAATTTTGAAATGGGGCGGTGATGCGCCAAATTTTGAAATGGGGCGGTGAAATCGTCGATGCACTGACTTAAGATGCAGGAAGGGTAAACGGGGTTTAATTGCCTATGCCCAACAAATTTCGAATATGGAGAATTACTCGTTTTTTTTTTTGAATTTCCTCTATGTTTTGAAGGAAAAGAAATTAAAATATTTATCCCCAGATCATTCATCAAAGGGAACTGTCTTATTTGTTGGGACATAAGTTATATTCTTTTCTTAGTATTATTTTTATTTTTGAATATTTGCACACCTTCTAATCGTGTCCCTCTTTCAAATAGATTTTCTAAGACCTGCATAATACAAATATTTGTTTCTGAAATTATCAGAAATAAATATATATTTCATAAGTCAAAAATTAAAATAGTGAGTGGCATTTTATGACAAAACATGTAGTTATGGTATACACTATTTAATGAAGAAAGAGATATATCAGTTGTAATATTGCAAACAATGGAAGTGTTTCCGGGGAATTTGCAGTCGTATTCTATATTTGTGCCACCTTTTAACCTGTATCTTATTTTTAAAAATTATTGATTTGGCAGCCAGCTGACAAAAAATTCGTAATAATATGACAATTACACCCCTGACAAAAGATATAAAACCTGCATCACACATTAATCGCGTGATCTGCAACCTCATTCGTGAATCTCCACCTCTCCTCTCAGCAGCTTTATCAAAAAACCATAAACTTATCCAGATTCATCTTCAGAATCACACTTGCATGAAGTTGTTTCACGTTGAAGCTAAAACTTCATGCTAATGCAGCATGAAATTGTTTCATGTTGAAGCTAAAATTTCACGCTAATGCATGCTGAAGTTATTTATCCTGCCGTCTACAGTTTGGTCATGAGTTTTTTCCGAAACTACAGTCTAAACATGCTGAAGTTATTTAGTTTATTTGCTAAAACTTCAGACTAAACATGCTTAAGTTTTTCAGTTCATTTGCTAAAACTTCAGACTAAACATACTTAAATTTTTGTCTTGTAGTGTGTAATTCTCTAATGAGTTTTTGCTAATGCATGCTGAAGTAATTTAGTTCATTTGCTAAAACATCAGACTAAACATGTTGAAGTTATTTAGTTCATTTGCTAAAACTTCAGACTAAACATGCTTATGTTTTTGTCTTGCAGTATGTAATTTTCTAAAGAGTTTTTGCTAATGCATGCTGAAGTTATTTAGTTCATTTGCTAAAACTTCATACCAAAACATGCTGAAGTTTTATAATGCAGTCTACAGTTTTGTCCTGAGTTTTATCCGAAACTTCAGTCTAGACAAGCTGAAGTTTTTTAGTTCATTTGCTAAAATATCGGCGTAAACATGCTTAAGTTTTTGTCATGCAGTTTGTCAATAGTCTTTTATTAAAGAAGGGCAAAATTGTCTTTTTGAAATATTTTTAACAAAAAATGGTTGCAGATGCAAACGGAAAAACAAAACGGGTACAAATTAAAAAGGGGCAACCAAATAGGGTGCCCATGCAAATTTTACCGTGTTTGCGCGAGATAAATAGTTGTAACTTTAATCTTCATCCTAATGTAGTTATGAACGTATGAACTCTTTAATTAGTTAGTACTCCTAACGAAAGCATATATTTCTAAGTTTTTGTCTGTTCTTTTTATTTTGTTAAAATTAATTTAATAGAATTTGTAGCTACCACTTTAACATTGCTAGAATATTAGGCATTTTTAATTAATTAAAATATTAATTTTCCTTGTATGCAGTGGTAATCAAGAAATTTGAATTCCAAGTTTTCAAATTTAAACACATCATCTATTGTTAGACAAGTTTTTAGATTTAATTTTTTCTTTTGTTTCTGTCGCTTCGAGGACATCCGATTAAATTTGTAAGAACCAATTTAATTAGATTCATACTAATTATATATTAATTAACAATAATCTTTTTATAAATATAAGAAATATATCGCATCATAAACATGAATATTGTTAATTCTCACTTTATACATGTGACAAAGAGTTTGAGGTGGCATGTGAATTCGTTATTTTTGGGGAAAATTTCACAGAACAACTCGGCTCCCTACTTTTTAATTTTATAGTCCATATTTCAATTTGCAACCAATTAGCCCAAAAATAATAGGCTAAGATTCAACATCCAACTCCAATAGGTTATCAAAATTACTATTTAATTTTTAAAAAAGATTGCTCAAGCTTTTAAGTTAATTTTCGAATCGGTAACTGTGACTCAAATATTAGTTCAACAAACCAAAATCCATTTGGGTGGTGAAAATTAGATTTTTAACAAGTTTAAATATTTGGGTTTAAATTCCGAATTTGATTTTTTGAGAAATTTGGAGTGGGTGTTATTTAGACTTGTTAGAAATAGTATAAGGAGGTTGTATATAAAATTTGAAGTCATTTAATGGAGTTTTGGACTGGTTTTGAACAAGAATTGCAACTGAAAATCGTGGAAGAAATTCGTCTACAATCGCTTATATAAAGGTGTATAAAACTGTATAATAGCGTATAAGATGTGTTTATACACTCATATACACTATTATACAAGATTATGCATAATTATACAAAAAAGTGACTTCGTCTTCTTCCTTGCGTCTTTTCTGAAATTTAACTCAAATCTTGCTCAAATCTACTCCAAATCACTTCAATTTAAATTTTGAACTCCTTTTGATATTTTCAATCAATTGGAACAACACCCAATCCAAACAACTAACAAACTCAAACAATTCTATTTTCGAAAGCAAAGCTTTGAATGACCTTCTATGGTGGACTTCTACTCTTCAATTTTTTACATTGCAACCAGGTGACATAGGGGGAGAAGCAGTAATGGCGGACGGCCCCTTGAAGCATATGTAAAAGATGTGAGAAGAAGAGAGTGAAAGCAATGGTTGTGAGAACACAAATTTAACTCCATAGCTTTTAGACACAGATTTTGAATTTGCAAGAGCTAGTGTTTTCAAAATATGTACAATATATGCTAGATCGGGCAAAACTTAAAAATATAGGCCATATTTGTTATGGTGTGAAGTCATGTGTATTTTCTTGTAATTCTTTCTTATTTTTGTATGTAATTGGTCTAACCATATATAGGGGTGGCAAACAGGCGGTTTGGGATGAATTTGGGCGGGTTAAAGTGACTAAATCAATAAATGAGCTATTTTTCAACTCAGCCCAAAGGTCACTTGGGCTAATATGGTTGTGTTAAGATGGATTGGACAATGGGTCATAACGCAACCACCCCAACTTGACCCTACTTTTGCAATAATTATAGAGGAATTTACATAGAATACAACCCTTTAAAGACTTATTTATATTCCCTACAACTACTTTTACAAAATTATCTTTAGTATAACTTATTTTAAAAATCTTGCCTTTTTAATTAAATTATGTGCAACTTTTCATCTCCTAAAATCTCTCCCTTGAGATTCTCTCTCACATAAAAGATATCTCTTCTGATTCTGTTTCACCTAACATATCAATCACTATAAATTATCACCCCCAATTTCTCTCTCTTTGAATCCTATACATCATCCAAAAATCATCTAAGGCTTAGAAATTTTTTAGCGGAAATGTGTTTGCTTCCCCCATTTTTTTTGATAATATATTATTTTATATTATATATACTGTAGACAATAAATTTGCGTCGAGAAAATAAAATCAAGACCGAAAAATATTGCAACAATCATAGTATTTTTATTTCAAATATTTGAGTGTTACAATCTCTATGAATCCTCTGATTCTTCTTTTCAGTAGTAAATAAATTCAAGGGCCTTTGCGCTTGATCTTGAATCTATGTTTGTTGCCACGAACGATGATCTTGTTCTCGAGCTTGAGTTTGATTGCTTGAACTTGACCTTGGTTTGTTCTTCGTTCTTGAGCTTGAACTTGATTTCTTGAACTTGAACTTGATTGCTTGAAGCTTGAAACTTGTAGTGAAATTTGCAGCGTTTGATCCACGAGCTCTCTCTTGCTTCTTGTTATAACTTCTGGTCCCTTTTCTGAGTTATGAAGAACCCTATTTATAGTTGTGGAAGGGAAGAGTCATGATAAGAACAAACTCTTTCCGACCAATCAAATTGAAGGGTGACATGGCCGCATTTGATTGGCCAGAACATGTCACTTACACACGTGGCACGATTTCATTGGCCTTTCAGTGTGACTGGACATGCCTTGTCATTTTGACACATGGCACGATCCTATTGGCTCTTCCGTTTGACTTGGCGTGCCACGTCATTTGACACGTGGCACCAAACTGGGCCTCTAGGAAGATGACATCTTGGGCTTAATGAAGTGGGCTTATAAATTTAGTCCAATTAAATGGGATGGCCCAATGGATTAAGACTTGTTTATTTAATCCATATATATTGGACTTATCTAATTAATTCATTTATATATTAGCCCATAATATTTATTTGGACCAATATATCTTGAATTTAAAATATTGTCCAAATTATTTACGGATTTAATTCCAATAGAATTTATATGCCTACAAATGCCCCCTACTTCAAGACTTGTCGAAGTATGAGGTCATCAAACATCCGAGACTAGGCTTGAAGTATCTCGGGACAATAGCATACACATAGAACACATATAAATCGTTTATTGGATTTAAAATGTGTTGGGAGTGATTTAAAGAAAGTCTGCACATGCAATTGTCTTGCTTTTAACTTTGTCATAGTCACATGTTCACTTTTACTACATTGAACTTGACGAAGAGGTACCTATATAGCTGCCACCTAGGATTTGTCCTTTCTTTATACTTGATATTTACTTTGCAAAATCCTTCCTTTGGACAGAAGCTCCACACGCATACTAAACCAAATCCTACTAGAAAACCAATTGTGCCATCCAAAAGGCGGCAGAAGTCTTCCTGCTTTTCTAATTCGAGTG